CCAGTATACAGTACACAAGGGCACTGACTGTTGGGGCGTGAAAAAATAACACATATAGGTACGTTCTGTCTGTAGTTTACGCGAGTAGTAATTTAAATAAAACACTTTAAAAGGCGATTTATATTAGTTAAACTTATTATGAAATCATTTTACCTACGGCCTGACGTTTCAGATGCTTTGCAGTAGCCGTCTCCCCGTGACCACGGCTGAATATACCGCGTTTTAAACAGTTAAAGTGTTTTATTGAAATATATGTTCATTAAATACTGTCTGTAGTTTACGCGAGTAGTACACAATTAAATAAAACACTTTTACAGTTTAAAGTACGATATATATTAGTAAAACTTATTTTTCCAGTACAGTATATTTATTATTACAGCCTCCCCGTGACCAAGGCTGCTGCAAAGCATCCGAAACGTCAGGCCGTAAATAAAAATAATTTTCAAATAAGTTAAACAATATATATCTCGTTTTAAACCGATAGTCTTTTAGTTTAAATATATGTATGTCATATCACAAACTTATTTATAGTATTAGTAGCAAACATACTTATTCGTATTCAAATAGTTAGTATTTACATACGACTCCACGGAATTATGTAGTAAACAGAATAGAAAACGTCGCCAAAGCGAAAATCTATTCAGTGAGCCGCGAAGCTGACGCGAGAAAAATAAAATGGAAATCTAAATCTGGTGCATTGACCTGCATGAGACTTGCTTTTGCTACTGTTGCTTTCAAGGCCGCGTTAGACGGTTTTGATAGCATTTACATCTTTATACAATTTCATTAATGAATATTTAATATACCTCGTATCTATACTGTTATATAAAGCTGAAGAGTTTGTTTGTTTGAACGCGGTAATCTCAGGAACTACGGATCGAATTGAAAAAATATTTTTAGAGCATTTATCGAGCAAGGCTAAAACATCGCTCTGTGACTAATAGAAGCGAAGATACAGGGAGATTCATCGGTATGCGTTTTCGAGGCGATGAAAAAACGGTTCAAGATACCCAAAAAATATGTACGAAGGATGATTCCTCTTTAAATAATAATAAAAACAACAGCGACGCTATATGTATATATCTTTTAAGATTAACTTGCAAGAACCACGGAAAGAGACGTGATCGACGTCGTGGGTAACAGCTTAAGTTTATAAAGATGATGGGGTTTGCAAAAACGAATTTGGATGCCCAAAATAACGATTCTCGCGGACAAATTCGCCGACACAGCTATTATAAATATAAATTACCTTCAGAGACTTGCTTATACAATTTCGAACACTTGACATGCGTAAATTATTTTAGTAGGTATAACATATATTTAAAAAAATTATATGACACAGAGAATTTACAATTTATTTTTGAGCCCAATACATTCTGTATAAAACTAACTTATAACACTAATATGGTATGGAATCACAAAAATTACTGCACTCCCGACAAACACAAAATGTCTATACATTAAATGGATTTTGTGCCTATATATATACTAAGCATTGCCGGTTGTGCTATCTTGTGGTGTAGAAAAAAGGAATCTTATTCATTTGTTTCTAAGAGATGAAGATATAGAATTAAGGAATTTCACCTTATATTTTGCAAAATACAACATTCTGAAAAATGCATGAACTATTTTTTTCAAACAAAATTATTTTTACCGACATACGACGCGACACTGCTTACAAGAAAAATATTGTTATTCTTGTCAAAAAACCAGTGCTAAGTATGTATCTCCATTTAGCCGTCTTTGAAAACGCTAATAGATTTTACCCGCTGACGCTAAACAACCTGCGAGAAAAAATGACAACCTGGAACAAAGGTATACGAAGCGGAATCGTGACAACACTGAAGACCACAATTGTACAAATGAATTCGTCGTCACGCCATTAGGTATTCAGTAAAATACTGTACAGCGAGTGCATTGAACCAGAAAACGTGGTTGATTACTTAACACATAGCTCAGATCGTGAGCGATTCAAAAGTTTTTGCAGAAATTATATTTTTTTTGGTCAAATCCGCCATTTGAAACATAGCTTCGACTTGTCGGTCTAATTGTAGCAACGTATGGCTAATATTAATAACCAACGGATTGGATCTTCACCGGGAACATTTTTATGAAACATTAGACTCCGTCTGGAAATATGGAAAATAAATGGGTGGTAGGAATATCGCAATTCCGTCCGGGTCACGAACTACCGGCCACAGATAATAAACGCCATGAAGTTTCATCGTGTTTCGGTATTCAGTACTGTGAATTTCCGAATATCCAAAGCCAAAATAGGACGACAGCGCACATTGTCGAGATGCTATAGGCTAGAGTATTTCTCCTACCATGATGTGAGACACATGCCTGCCTGTCCTCGTCAATTATAAAAAAAAACTGTATTCCAGAACAGGATCTCAGCTGAAGCGAAGCAAAGCAATGATGTCATTAGTCCTGTAGACAACAATTGATTACACGACATAGTTAAACGTCGCCCCAGATACGATCCGAAGACAACTGATTTATGCCCTCGCTCAGGTGTCAAAAGGCGAAAAAACTGGCAATTACATATACAAACTGACATCTAGATCATTTATCAAACGGTTGCGCAACAAAATAATACATAATGACACTATTGGATTCGCCGCGTAGATTAAGGTATCACCCCACTATACCGAAACATATTTAACTGAAAAGCAACACCGCATTATACAAAGCCCCTTTTTCAATACACAATGACAGTGAAATAACTTTAAAAGTATATTCTATTAATTATATTTATATTAATTTTCTTTTTTTGACACGAAAAGAATTAATCTAACTAAACAAATTTGGTTGACGTCCCGTCCTTGCAACGTGTTGGTCTTCCATATTTCAATCCAAAGAATATAATTTTGTTTAACATGTTTTATTACAGCGTAGTGGGCGGAGACCATACAAGTGGCGATTTGATCTATATGGCAAAAAAGCTGCCCAAACCTCAATAATTGAGCTACCGTATATTATAGCCAATTACTATCAACCACGCCCTCGGTAGCTTCTCGTTCTATAGTTTACGATTTGTGTGAAACGGGGCCATCTCTATTAGTATAGCGAGCGTTTTATTTGTTCAAGTTACCGCTTACGTTCAGGTGCTAAGTCCGCTATCCAGGTCATCACCGCTTGAGAACCCAACAATAACTGGTGACGTTAGCGAATGGAAATTTAATTAGCAAAAACATGACAGCGATTTATTGAGCAAACCACGTTGAACAAATTATCGATAATCATCCTAGCTAACCACCACGTATGAAAAGACGAAAGCCAAAAAAACATTATATTTATTTAAAGCTCAAACACCTATTGACTCGCTTAAATTATTGACTTAACTAAAAAACTCGGTTCCTACGGAGAGCTTCCAAAAAAATCTTACTACGTGTCTATTGAAAAAAATCTATTAATTTTGCAAGGAACAAATTTGAAGGTATGGCACCACGCCGAGATTGTCATGTATGCGATGTTGATGACAGAAAAAATTAGAATGGTTATATCAAAGTAGTACTAATAAAAACAAATATAATATATTGAATGGTAATGGTAAAACAATAAGCTTATGATAACTTCAAAATCTTATTTCCGTTAGGCCGGATAAAGAAAATGAATAAACAGATTCAGACGGACACAGAAATGTATCTGCCTTACTTCAACCACACAAGAAAAAGACTCTTGCCTTATGGTACCATCTAATCAACTCAGAAATATAGGGAAAATGAAGAGCGAACATGAAAAGACCAGCTCCCAAATAAAATATGCGCAGTGCATAATATTACAAATGTATCAGCTGATTTTCGCGAATCAGAGACAAGGTGAAGGCCGGTCGAATCGAACAAGTCGAAACTTGTATAGCGTTGCAGAAAAAATCGTAAAAGCTAAATGTTAATGTGAATGACATCATAAATATCTGATTGATGCAGACATGTCATACGAGAGATCCTCTTTCGATGTGGGAATGTTGCATGGCTGTCAATTTTAAATATCTAGGCGAGATGTAGTACAATAAATAAGTACAGCATTTGAATAATCACTAATAATAACATAATAAAACAAACTATAGGGTGGTATACTGAACTACTGAAGCTTAACAATCTTCTTAAATTGCCAAAAACTTTATGATGACACTTGGGTGGGACTTAAACTGGCATCCACAGCGTTCCATCTAACCATTTGAGCTAGCATGTTCTACACGTCCACAACGAATATCTTTTAACTTCTTTACCGAATTTAAAAGATATTCTTTACATTCTGTACATCGAATAGTTAGATTAACATGACTGGCGACAATCTTAATCTAACTTACGTACAATAACGTCGAAGTAATTGTATAATGTAAATAAATGAAATGTGTTCGCCCTATGCCCCATAGAGGGAAATGGGATATCACAATAGCAAAAGAAGAATAAGTTACTTATAAAAAAATAAATAGGTGTTACAAGTACGTTAGCAATTATATTCAGACGAGCGGTTAACTCTAACCAAGATGACAACTAGTTATTTACGTGAGTTTCAGCCGAAAAGCAGGAACAGGAACATTACGCAACATTGTCAATAGAATGTTGCATGAAACACGTGGTAAAATAAAGCACTGTTGACTCAGCTGATCGGTGCGTTGAACTTCCCAGAACAGGTAAACGTCTCGTCTCGTACTGAAAATTCCGTCTTATTAAATGCACGGACTGAATCAGTCAGCTGATCTCGAGTATTTCATGCGGGACATTCATTTGCGCGGACGTCCATTTCTTTTCTTTGCTAATTAAGGCGTAAATTAATTGTAGCAATCTCTTGACAGCCCAAAAGTTTTGAAGAGAATTTGAAACATTTTTAAATTTAAACTAATATTATCTCAGCGTTTTTGAGTTAGTTAAATGCGTTGAAATCAAAATAACACACCTTTTACATTTACGAGACATTATGTCAGATTTCGAGCGGATTACCCGCATTAAGTGCGTTATGACAGCAAATGTTAAAACCTAAGCTTTGCTGTAATGGCGGTTCGGAGTCAAAATCCTGGTAATAAAATTTGCATCTCTAATGATGTTTGCCGTCAAATAATACCAGAACATGAGTTAGAAGCCATTAAAGTATGTCCAAAGCAAATATTTGCAGATGACATCAGCCACTCAGCTGATGATGGGTTGAAGGTTGGTCAACCGAGTGGTTTGGACAACACTACTAGTCTAAATACCCTAAGCAGGCCTCAAGAATACAAATAGACGTGTGTTTGAGCAAACTGTTATTAGCACAGGTAAACGCTTTAAGAAGCACGAGGAGGCCTAAGTTAGGTAGGAGTGACAAATTGCTATTCAATGACTAATCGCTACACGGCACAGATATGGGAAAACGGTTAAATGACGTGATCTTTATAAGAATAGGTGTAATAACGCACATAACGAAGACAAACAGTAGTATTGCTAATGATTTCCCAATAGAATTTCGAAAATAACAGTCTGGACAAGTGTAAGACTTCAAGAAAACATCCATTAATAATATTTTAAAGAATCTTGTATGAAAGGTAAAATCTGATTTTTATCGTTAGGTAAACCCATCTGTGTCCATTGATAAATCTATTGAACAAGTCGATGATTAGATTTCGTAGCGCTGCCGAACCGTTCGTCATTTTCCAACTCAGGATCAGAGAGAGAGGTCACGCACTTCTTGGAGTTAAAAACGAAGTCGTAAATTTATAAGTTGTAAAAAGATCAAAGAAATTCATGAGATCAAACGAGGCGCGCGAGCAAACAAAAACCATTTTTGCAGTGGACACACGAAAATGTGTTAATTTGCCAATTTCAAATATGCACTCGCCTACATGAGAAAGACGAATTGAATGTTTGCACAGCTGCAATCGCAATATTGACTTGCACGAAAACTCTGTTGATATTGTAAATTACCAAATATTAATATGGTATTACATAGGAACCGCTTGAAACAATACAAACAATATGCTACGAAGATATTTTAAGGCGTTATATATATACAGAATTTGGAAAAGAGACGGCTTTTTTGCTTTATTTACGAAATTAAGACAAGCTTTCAAATCCCACCGAAAAATTAAAAAGCGCAGATTAGGCGTTGTCTATAGATTACGCGAGTAGTACATATTTAAATAAAACACTTTTAACAGTTTAGAACGCGATATATATTCTAAAATTATTTTTTAATTTAACTACGGCCCGACATTTCGGATGATTTCCAACAAAGTTTTAAACCGTTTAAAGTATTTTATTTTAAAGGATTGATTGTTGATGTTGTTTGAATTTCAAATGTGTTTTAATTTTGTTTATAAACTACACGGCGCGGATTAAACTTATTTAATTTTTTTTTTTGCTTTGCAGCAGCCGTAGTCACTGGGCGTCACGTCGTTAAAACTCGCGTAAACTAAATACAGTATTTAAACCACAACCTATTTTAACGCGCTCAAACATTATGCAACTAGCATGTCAAATAACAAAACACGCTATCTAAGGCAGCTCATAGTTAGCAGAGGTCAGTATTTACGACCGTCAATAGATCAATTACAACTCATTATACGCAAAAAGCACGCATTAAAAATACGCACGATACGATAGGAGCTTGGATAACGCAAAGCCGGGTACTCACTGTGGAGCTGTAACCGTAATTAGTGTGGCATACATGACAAACATAATATAATACTATAGAGTCTGAGATTAAAGAACTGAACTAAGGAACTGAATAAGGACAAAATAAGTTACCAAACAAAAGGCTCCATAAAAGTAGTAGTTCTTTTCAAGGTAACTGCATACGATACTTTAAAAAATCCCCAGCGAAGTGAAGCACTCTCAATAAATAGGTTTAAATCGTATGTAAAACAAAAATTGCTTGAAAAGGGTTATTATCATGTTAATCAATATTTAAATGAAAAAATCTTGGGGTGTGGAGGAACCCGCTCTTAAAGGAAAAATATGTTGTGTACTAAAAGTAAATCAAGAATGTAAAATGAAACTTGCGATAAAGGAGTGACGGCGAGTATGCAGTTTTCGTTGTTTACGCCCTTGATTTGAAACTGTAGTAAATGTAAGTAGATTAAATTATTTTGTGACTTCATTAAAATATTTTTTGAAAATAATATGATCTGTAACGTGAGAAAAGGGGAGGGGGAGAGTCACCTGCAATCAGGCTCTGTAATATAAAATAATTGTACAAGTGTCTACTTGTAATAAGAGAAGGTTGTCGTTTCATTATGCCTTAGACAAATACTAATTTACTATAATAAAACAAATTTACATGTTATTGCACATAATGCTATATTAATTAAAACAAGTCAAATTAAAATATAATTGATGACACGGGCTTGAAACAGGTAACGTGGCAAAAATTAAATCGATTTCGAATTATGAAAAATGTGGCAAATTCATTATGTAATTAGTATTGACTAGTGTTTTAATTTTGAGAATTGATAGAAATCTCTAATACATACCAAAAAGTTTCCCTTAGATTTAGTGTAACGTAATCTTAAAGATAAAATATGATGTCGTAGCCCAAAACTACTAATACTTGCAGTATCAAATGTATACACGGTTGTGGGTGGGTAACTGCGTCACTTGCGGCCCTACCAGTGAGTACCCGGCAGTACGTTATCAGAAGTCAAGTAATTTGTTCTTGGTGTTAGTAGGACGTCGTTATCGGAATAGCAACAGGTTGCAGGAGTTATCTAGAATTGCATTTTGTCGCTGATAGCTCGGTATTTTTGTGTTATCGCCGGTGCAGAATGTAAACATACAGAGATAGTGGGGGACACGAGAGTTCGGGGTGATGTGTTTTAATGGCATAATGGTCCTTGGTTTGACTTGTGTACTCGTATATACGACTCGCATATACGCATTTATCATAATCGAAAGCTAATATTATAAACCTGAAGAGGTTTTTGTTTGTTTGAACGCGCTAATCTCTGTAACCACTAGTTAGAAATGGAAAAACCTCTTTGTGATGGTTGGACAATTTATCGAATTTCATTGAAGGCTCTAAGGCTGTGACCAATAGGAGCGGAGCGGACGGGTAAATGTATTAATCATTAAGTTCTTTCGTTGCGTGCACTTTTAAAACGGTTCCCATATACCCAAAAAAATATGTACGAAGGAATGATTCCTCTTTAGGCGACCTAAAAAAAATCGGCAACAGTATATGTCTATCTTATAAAATGAACATGCAAAACTGCGGGGCGCGGGCGGTTTTGTAATAGCTTAATATATATATAAAGCTAAGGAAGTAAGAGGGTGTTTGTAAAAATAAATGATATAATGCCGAATATCTAAATATTCTACGCAAACAAACTACGACTAGCTACAACCCGAGGTAGACATGTTAACTAAGGTAAAACAAATTCTCTTCTTTCTAGCTGTATAATTTCTGAAGTAAAACTAGGCTATATGTTATAAAAGACATTGATCCATTCAACCTCAGAAACGTTTCTAAAAATACAATTAGTACGATATTTGTTCGGCATTTCACGTATATATTATGCATGCAAGCAAAACTGTCATTCGGTCAACAATCTCCAGAGGCCCGTGCAAAATGCTACCGATTGAGATTTGCGTCAAAATAAAACCCGAGACGTAATCCGTCCGTGTATTAATTCAATCGGAGTAGTGCCGTACATAACCGAGTTACGAGAACCAAATGCAATTGACTCCCGACCAATTAACCCCGTCTAACTGAATCTAATTAAATCATACGTCATTATTAGAAGGATATCGTTACGACATCCGGGCGATCGTATAAATTTGGCGTCAAAAAAATGCAATTCACATTTACGAGTTTGCGCGTTCTCACAACAAAAAAAAAACGTAATTTAATATATGTATTAAAATACTTATTTGAGATACGTCGTTATGAATGTTATGAAGACACATTTTTAGTAATTATAATCTACCAAGCGTTAACAACTCAAACAAGAACCAACAAACTACAATACTGTCCTATAAATTGGTGCCATACAAATTTATGGATATGTTAAATCCATATTTTGTTTGTTTGTTTGAACGCGTTAATCTCAGGAACTATGGCTTGGCTTGCTGTTTGTGTTGGTTAGATCATTTATCGAGGAAGGCTATATATAACGTCAACTGTTACCAATAGATGCGAGGAAACATTGGAAAATGTGGGAAAAACTGGGAAATCATTCATCTATGAGGGTTTCCGTTTCGAAAACGGTCCACGAAACAAAAAATTATGTATGAAAAATGATTCTTCTTTAAATAATTCCAATAATATCCCATAAACTTTTCCGCGACAGTGTTCCTTTTAATATTAACTTGCAATGATAGTGAATCATTAAAATAATAAAAGCTAAATTTAATTGACGCCAACTCAAAATCAATGCAAAACTACAAATCTTTTAATAAAATGTTATCGCTACACCAGCCATCTTAATGGAAGTTAAAAGAGTATATTTTCGCACAAAAACTCAGAGGAAGTAATTGGTCCCATGCCTAAAAATTCTAATGAGTCAGATTAGACGTAATTAACGCAACAATAATATAGCAGACATCCTTTTGATATAAAAAGTTACACAAAAAAAAAACATTTCACGGTATATAATTACCACTTAAATATTTCTCATTAAATATGTAAGGTATTTTGTATCAAGAACCTATAGAAGTCCATCTTCTAACAGTTTCTAGAGAGTAGAAAATTATTACAAGCAAGGAAAGACCAATCAGGATAGTTAAGATTATAAAAAAACCAACTAGCTCTGCTTAGTCCCGTAGAATAGTTATTATGGGCAACAAAATTTGTTTTTGCAAACCTCTTCAACTATAGCTGTTACCTACAACGTCGTCCATGTCCCGTCGTTCTTGCAAGTTAATCTTAAAGGGTAGACTATACTCTCGCAAATATTACTTTTGATCATGTATCTTGAACTGTTATCGCAGCGCACACAACGAAAAGCCATAAAAATTATATAATTTTTCCCGTTTTTTTCTATATTTTCCAAGTTAGTTTTTTTCGCTTCTACTGGACCATAAGGTTTTCTCGATAAAACCAACACAAAAGTAATTTTAAAATTCGAACCAGTAGTTCTCCAGCAAACAAAATCTTTAGCTTTTTAATTAGTTTTTATTGCACTATTTATATGAAATATAACGCAAGTAAAATCCTGGGTTTATAACTAAGCAAAAGATAATATCGTTTCGGATGAAGTGCTATGAACTAGACCCGACTAGAAAGGGCGTCGCCCTTTAACGCTACCATT